GTTGTCCAGGATGACGATGCTGGACAGGTCGCTGTGCACCACCGACAGGTCCTTGATGTAACTGCCCAGCTCCAGCGTGCAGTGCTGGGGGCGGGGCCGCGTCAGGGACACGCCCACCGCGCCTGGGACACGCCCACCGCGCCTGGGACACGCCCAGGGACACGCCTACCACTTCTGGGACATGCCCAGGGACACGCCTACCACTCCTGGGACACGCCCACCGCACCTGGGACACACCCAGTGCGCCTGGGACACGCCCAGGGACATGCCTACCACTTCTGGGACACGCCCACTGGACCTGGGACACACCCACTACACCTGGGACACACCCAGGGACACACCCACTGCTCCTGGGACACACCCCGGGACACGCCCACCGCACCTGGGACATGCCCAGGGACACGCCCACTATTCCTGGGACACGCCCACGGCACCTGGGACACACCCCGGGACACGCCCACCGCACCTGGGACATGCCCAGCACACCTGAGACATGCGCAAGGCCACATCCAACTCACCTGGACACACCCAGGGCCACGCCCATCTCATCTGGACACACTGGACACACCCACCACACCTGGACACACCCAGGGCCACGCCCACCTCACCTGGACCTGCGGCTGAGGACGCGCCCAGCCCCTCACCTGTCCCAGCGTATCCCAGGTGAGCTCACCTGTCCAGGTGTGCCTATCCCAGTGTTACCTGCCCAGATGTGTATCACTCACCTGTCCAGCTGTGTCTCACCTGTCCCTCACCTGTATCCCAGGTGTGTCCCTCACCTGTCCAGCTGTGTCTCACCTGTCCCTCACCTGTATCCCAGGTGTGTCCCTCACCTGTCCAGCTGTGTCTCACCTGTCCCTCACCTGTATCCCAGGTGTGTCCCTCACCTGTCCAGCTGTGTCTCACCTGTCCCTCACCTGTATCCCAGGTGTGTCCCTCACCTGTCCAGCTGTGTCTCACCTGTCCCTCACCTGTATCCCAGGTGTGTCCCTCACCTGTCCAGCTGTGTCTCACCTGTCCCTCACCTGTATCCCAGGTGTGTCCCTCACCTGTCCAGCTGTGTCTCACCTGTCCCTCACCTGTATCCCAGGTGTGTCCCTCACCTGTCCAGCTGTGTCTCACCTGTCCCTCACCTGTATCCCAGGTGTGTCCCTCACCTGTCCAGCTGTGTCTCACCTGTCCCTCACCTGTATCCCAGGTGTGTCCCTCACCTGTCCAGCTGTGTCTCACCTGTCCCTCACCTGTATCCCAGGTGTGTCCCTCACCTGTATCCCAGGTGTGTCTATCCCAGGGTTACCTGTCCAGGTGTGTGGCTCACCTGTCGGCAGTAGCAGCAGTTGAGGCTGTCCCCACACCTGTCCAGGTGTGCCTATCCCAGTGTTACCTGCCCAGGTGTGTCCCTCACCTGTATCCCAGGTGGGTCTCACCTGCCCAGGGGGGTCCCTCACCTGTATCCCAGGTGGGTCTCACCTGCCCAGGGGGGTCCCTCACCTGTATCCCAGGTGGGTCTCACCTGCCCAGGGGGGTCCCTCACCTGTATCCCAGGTGTGTGGCTCACCTGTCGGCAGTAGCAGCAGTTGAGGCTGTCCCCACACCTGTCCAGGTGTGTCTCTCCCAGTGTTACCTGCCCAGGTGTGTCCCTCACCTGCCCAGGTGTGTCTCACCTGTATCCCAGCTGTGTCCCTCACCTGTCCCTCACCTGTATCCCAGCTGTGTCTCACCTGTATCCCAGGTGTGTGCCTCACCTGTCGGTAGTAGCGGCGGTTGAGGATGCTGCGGTTGTTGTCCAGCTTGTCGGCCACGGCGCAGCCGTAGATCTCCATGCTGGCCGTGAACACCACCAGCTCGTACCACTGGCTCACCTGGAATTCCGGAATTTTGGGGGAAATTCACCCGATTTTGGGAAAAATCAGGAATTTTAGGGAATTTTGGGGTGATTTGAGGGGTTTTTGGGGGGTCTCAGGTGAGATTTGGGGCTGTAGATCTCCATGCTGGCCGTGAACACCACCAGCTCGTACCACTGGCTCACCTGGAATTCCGGAATTTTGGGTGCTGCGGTTGTTGTCCAGCCTCAGGTGAGATTTGGGGCTGTAGATCTCCATGCTGGCCGTGAACACCACCAGCTCGTACCACTGGCTCACCTGGAATTCCGGAATTTTGGGGGAAATTCACCTGATTTTGGGAAAATTCAGGAATTTTGGGGTGATTTGAGGAGATTTTGGGGGTTTTTGGGGGGTCTCAGGTGGGGTTTGGGGCTGTGGATCTCCATGCTGACCCTGAACACCCCCAGCTCACCTGGAATTTTGGGGATTTTTGGGGATTTTGGAAGGGTTTCGAAGGGATTTCAGGAGGTTTTGGGGCGGATTTTGGGGTGAATTTGGGGCTTTTTGGGGTCACTCACCACCTCCAGGAAGAAATCCACGTGGGGCCGTTTGTGCACGAAGAACCTCACGGGGTGTTTGTCGATCACCACCTGGGGGACCCCAAAAATCAGCCCGGGGACCCCCAAAAATCAGCCCGGGGACCCCAAAATTCCACCCAAGACCCCCCCAAAATCAGCCCTGGAACCCCAAAAATCAGACCCAGGAACCCCAAAATCGGCCCTGGGACCCCCAAAATCAGCCCTGGTAACCCCAAAAATCAGACCCAGGAACCCAAAATCAGTCTGGGGACCCCAAAATCGGCCCTGGGACCCCCAAAATCAGCCCTGGGATCCCAAAAATCAGTCCGGGGACCCCAAAAATCGACCCAAGACCCCCCAAAATCAGACTTGGAATCCCAAAATCAGCCTTAGGACCCCAAAATTCCTCAAAATCCCCCAAAATTTCCAAATTCCTTCCAAAATCCCCCCTGAACTGCCCCAAAACTGCCCCAAATCCTTTCCAACTGATCCCAAATTGCCCAAAATTCCGGAATTTGCCCCAAAATCCGCCCAGTCCTTGAGGATGAAGTCGGGGGGGGTCCCGGGCCGCAGGACACCCAAAAAACCCCCAAAAACCCCCAAAAAACACCCCAAAACTCCCCAAAAACTGCCCCAAATCCCTCAAAATCTCCCAAAATCGTCCTGAAATTGCCAAAATTCCCCCAAAATTCTCTAAAATCTTTCCAAAATTTGCAAATTCCTCCCAAAAACCCCCCTGAAGTGCCTCAAAATTGCCCCAAATCGCCCCAAAACTGCCCCAAATCCTCTCCAAGTGATCCCAAATCTTCCCAAAATCCCCCAAAATTCCGGAATTTGCCCAAAATCCGCGCAGACCTTGAGGATGAAGTCGGGGGGGGTCCCGGGCCGCACTGTGAGCCTCAGGATGCCCCAAAAACTCTCCAAAAACCCCCCAAAAACACCCCAAAACTGCCCCAAATCCTCTCCAAGTGACCCCAAATCTTCCCAAAATTGCCCAAAAATTGCGGAATTTGCCCCAAAATCCGCGCAGACCTTGAGGATGAAGTCGGGGGGGGTCCCGGGCCGCACCGTGGGCCGCAGGACGCCGTCGTGGTGGGAGTGGATCAGGGTCTCGTCCAGGTCCAGCACCAGGATCTTCCTCTTCACCTGGTCTGGGGCAAAATCCCCCAAATTTGGGCAAAATTGGGGAATTTCGGGCAAAATTTGGGGGTAGAATTGGGGGGTTTGGGGGGAAAATTTGGGGGTTTGGGGGGAAAATTTGGGGGTTTGAGAACACAATTTGGGGGTTTGGGGATAAAATTTTGGGGTTTGGGGGGAAAATTTGGGGGTTTGGGAGAAAATTTGGGGGTTTGGGGTTAAAATTTGGGGGTTTGGGGTTAAAATTTGGGGGTTTGAACTGGTTCTCTCCTAATTTTGGGATTTCCCACCCCAATTTTGGGGCTCTCTCCCCAAATTTCTGATTTCCCACCCCAATTTTGGAATTTTCTCTGAAATTTTGATAATGTTTCCCCAATTTTGGGATTTCTCACCCCAAATTTTGGAATTCTCTCACAAATTTTGAGGTAGCCACCCCAAATTTTGGGATTTTCTCTGGAATTTTGGGGGTTTCCCCCCAAATTTTGGATTTCCCATGCCAAATTTTGGGATTCTCTCACAAATTTTGGGGTTCTCTCCCCAAATTTTGCATTTTCCACCCAAATTTTGGGGTTTTCTCCCCAGTTTTAGGAATTCCCACCCCGATTTTGGGATTCTTTCTGGAATTCTGGGGTTTTTCCCCCAAATTTTGGGATTTCCCACCCCGATTTTGGGGTTCTCTCCCCACATTTTGGGATTTCCCACCCCAATTTTGTGCCCTGGGATCCCAAAAATCAGTCCGGGGACCCCAAAAATCGACCCAAGACCCCCCAAAATCAGACTTGGAATCCCAAAATCAGCCTTAGGACCCCAAAATTCCTCAAAATCCCCCAAAATTTCCAAATTCCTTCCAAAATCCCCCCTGAACTGCCCCAAAACTGCCCCAAATCCTTTCCAACTGATCCCAAATTGCCCAAAATTCTGGAATTTGCCCCAAAATCCGCCCAGCCCTTGAGGATGAAGTCAGGGGGGGTCCCGGGCTGCAGGACACCCAAAAAACCCCCAAAAACCCCCAAAAAACACCCCAAAACTCCCCAAAAACTGCCCCAAATCCCTCAAAATCTCCCAAAATCGTCCTGAAATTGCCAAAATTCCCCCAAAATTCTCTAAAATCTTTCCAAAATTTGCAACCCCAATTTTGGGGTTTTATCCCCAAATTTTGGGATTTTCTCCCCAAATTTTGTGGTTTTCTCCCCGATTTTGGGATTTCCCACCCCAAATTTTGGGGTTTTCTCCCCCAATTTTGGACTCACTCAGGCGGTTCCGGGAGATGGGGGACAGGGGCAGGACGTCGTAGCGCACGGTCTGGTACTGGATCACCTGGGAAACCCCAAATTTGGGGGGACCCCGAAATTCGGGAATCCCCAAATTCCATCAGGGAGAGCCCAAAAATCCCCCCCCAAAAAAAACCCCAAAAATTTCGGAGCTTCCTGAGCCTCCCCAGGGGAGTTTTGGGGGAAAAAACTCCCAAAAAATGGGGTGAGAACCCCCAAAATTCATCCCCAAAATCCTAAAAATTCTCTGAAATTTCCCCAAAATCCAAAAAAATCCCCCAAATTTCCACAAAATCCCTCAAAAATCTCCTCAAAATTCCCCCAAAATTTCTCTAAATTCCCCCAAACCCCCAAAATCTCCCCAAATTTTCCCCAATTCCACCCCAAATTCCCCAAAAACGCCTCAAAATTCCCCAAAATCCCCCTGGGGACCCCAAAAATTCTCCCCAGATTCCCTGAAATGTCCCAAAAGTCCCAAAAAATTCCCCCAAATCCCTAAAAATCCCCCCAAAATTCCATCAAAATTCCCCCAAAAGTCCCTCAGGACCCTGAAATTCCCTGAAAATTCCCAGAAACGACCCAAAATTCCCAAAAATTCCCAGATATGTCATAAAAGCCCCCCAAAATTCCCAAAAATTTCCCCAAAATTCTCTCAAATTCCCCAAATCCCTCCAAAACTCCCGGAAATTCCCCGAAAATTCCCAAAAACTTCTCCCAGATTCCCCCAAAATTTCCAGGAATTCCCAGAAATCCCCCCCAAAATCCCAAAAGTTCCCCAAAAATTCCCTGAAATTCCCCAAAAGTTCCCAGAAATGCCCAAGAATTCCCAAAATTTCCCCAAAATTCTCCGGAATTCCCAGGTTTCCATTCCGGAGCCCTCCCGGCCCCTCCCCCATCCCAAAATAGCCTCGGCCCCTCCCCCAAAAAATCCCAAATTTCGCCAAAATAGCCCAAAATATCCCAAATTTATCCAAAATATCCTGAATTTATCCCAAAAAATCCTGAATTTACCCAAAAGATCCCAAATTTATTACAAATTTATCCACAATATCCTAAATTTATCCCAAAAAATCCCAAATTTCTCCAAAATATCCCGAATTTATCCAAAAATATCCCAAATTTAGCCAAAATAACCCAAAATATCCTGAATTTATCCAAAAAATATCCTGAATTTATCCCAAATATCCCAAAATATCCCCAAAAGTCCCAAATTTATCAAAAAATACCCCAAATTTACCCCAAATACCCCAAAATATCCCAAATTTAACCCAAAATATCCCAAATTTAACCCAAAAAATCCCAAATACCCCAAAAAAATCCCAAATTTACCCAAAATATCCCAAATTTATTACAAATTTATCTACAATATCCTAAATTATCCCAAAAAATCCCAAATTTCTCCAAAATATCCTGAATTTATTACAAATTTATCCAAAGTATCCTGAATTTACCCCAAAAAATCCCAAATTTATCCAAAAATATCCTGAATTTATCCAAAAATATCCCAAATTTAGCCAAAATAACCCAAAATATCCTGAATTTATCCAAAAAATATCCTGAATTTATCCCAAATATCCCAAAATATCCCCAAAAGTCCCAAATTTATCAAAAAATACCCCAAATTTACCCCAAACATTATTCCAAGGAATCCCAAATTTCTCCAAAGAAATCCAAAAAAAATCCCAAAACCCCAAAAATTCCCCTAAAAAAAACTCCCTGAAACTGGAATTGCACCCTAAAATTCTGTTCCTTAACCCAAAATTCTCCCCAAAAACCCCAAATTTATCCCAAAAAATTCCCAAAATCCCCCAAAAATTCCCAGAAAATTCCAAATTCCACCCGAACTTTCCTGAAAATTCCCCAAAAAAACCCCAAAAATTGTCTTTAAAACCCCAAAATTTCCCAAAACTCCCCGAGAAAGTCCAAAATTTTTACTTTAAAAGACCCAAATTCCGAAAAAATTATTTTAAAAAATTTAAAAAACCCAAAAATTCCAACCCAATTCCCAAAAAAACCTCGAAATTCCACCCAAAATATCCTAAAAACGAAATAAAAAAATGCAAACACCTCAAAAAGAAACCAAAATCCCAAAAAATCCCCGAAAATTTTCCCCAAAATTTCCAACAATAATTCCAAAACTTCCCCAAAAAAATCCAAAAATCCCCCAAAAATTCCCAAAAAAATCCCCAAAAAATTTTAAAAAAAAACCTAAAAATCCCCAAAATTCCCCAAAAAATCTGAAAAATTCCAATAATTCCACAATAATTCCCAAAATCCCCCAAAAAATCTCCAAAAAAAATCCAAAAATTCCTCAAAAACTTCCCCCAAATCCCCAAAAGTTCCCAAAAAATCCCCAAAAAGTTTTTTAAAACCCCCAAAAATTCCCAAAATCCCCCAAAAAATCCGCAAAAAATCCAAAAAAATTCCCCAAACTCCCCAAAAATTCCCCAAAAAGTTTTTTAAAAACCCCAAAACATTCCCAAAATTCCCAAAAATGCCCCAAACTCCCCCCACCCCCCCGGCAATCCCCGCTCGCTTCCCGGCTCCGTTCCCGTTCCTGTCCCGTTGTCCCGGTCCCGGTGCCGTGATCCGCCCTTCGTTCCCGGTGCCCTCCCCGCTCCATTCCCGTCAATCCCGGTCCCGGTTCCGTTATCCCGGCTCTCCCCGCCGCTCCCGGGGGCGTTCGGGGGCTCCGGGCCCTCACCGGGGCTCCACCGGGGCCGCCGCCGGCGCCGCCATGGCCGCCATCGCCCGGGGGCACTTCCGGCAGCAGCGCTTCCGGGGCACGCACGGGGGGCGGGGCTACGCACGGGGGCGGGGCCGCCGAACCCTAGACATAAACGGAGGGGGCGGGGCTTAAACGGAGGAGAATGGAGGTTAAGGAGAGGGGTGGGGTTGATGGGCGGGGTTATGTAAATTAGCTGCGCGGTCACGTTGCTATAGTGAGCGGACAGTGATTGACAGCGTCTTTATGTAAATGAAGGGGCGTGGCTTCCGCCGTTAGGATCCGTTCAGGCTGAAGTGATTGACAGGGCGTATGCAAACTAGGGGCGTGGTTTGTGCCGTTGGGACCAGTTCAGGCTGAAATGATTGACAGTGAGTATGTAAATTAGGGGCGTGGTTTATGCTATTGGAATAAATCCACGTGGCGCGATTGACTGGTCAGTTATGCAAATTAAGGGGCGTGGTTTTCATTATTAAAGGCAACCCATGAAAAATAATTGAGATTGTATTATGTAAATTAAGGGGCGTGGCTTGCCAAAAGGGGCACGGCCACCTTCTTTTATGCAAATTTATGTAAAAGAAGGAAAAAATTGTGCAGCACAGACACTTCACTTATGCAAATTAAGGGGCGTGGCTTCTGCTTTAAGATGGGTTTCGCTATATTTAAATGAGGGGCGTGGTCTCCTCTTGAAGCCCCTCCCACTTCCCAAACGCTTGAGGTTGCACCCCCAAAATTTGGGGATTTTTTCCCAAAAAAATTGGGATTCCCCCCCCCCAAATTTTGGAGTTTTCCCGCCAAAAATTGGGAATTTCCCGCCTAAAACTGGGGGATCCCCCACCCCCAAAATTTGAGGATTTTCCCCCAAAATTTCGGGAAAATTCTCCAAAATTTCAGGAACTTTCCCTCCCAAAATTTGGAGAATTTTCCCCTAAATTTGGCATTTCTCTCCCTAAAATTTGAGGATTTTTTCCCCTAAAATTTGGGATTTTCACCCCTAAAATTGGGAATTTTTTCCCCAAAATTCTGGATTTTCAGTCCTGAAATTTTGGACTTTTTCCCTCTGAGATTTTTTTCCAAAAAAATTTGGGATTTTCACCCCTAAAATTTGGGATATTTAAAAAAAAAAATTGGAATTTTTTCCCCTAAAATTTGGAAATTTTTTTTCCCCAAAAATTTGGATTTTCATCCCTAAAATTGGGGGTTTTTTCCCCAAAAATTTGGAACTTTCACCCCTAAATTTGGGATTTTTTCCCCAAAATTTGGGATTTTGCCCCGAAAGCACCAGGGGAGGTGGGGGAGGAGCAGCTCCTTTATTTGGGTCCCGTTTTTGGGGATTTTCCCCCCAAATTTGGGGCTCCCGGGGGGGGTCACAGCTCCAGGTCCTCGTCGGGGTCCTCGGGGTCCTCGGGGGGCGCCTCGGGCTCCGTCCTGGGGGGATTTGGGGCAAATTCGGGGAATTTTGGGAAAAATCGGGAATTTTGGGGGAAAACTTGGGCATTTTGGGAAAAATTTTGGGAATTTTT